TTCTTGGAGCCAAGTTTTGTTTTTCTGAATTGCTCATTAGCATGTTCTGGAGATGCTCTATTTTTACACTTTTACCATAAAGCAATATAATGAGAAAACCAATTCCAGACTTGTTTCATAATTAACATAAATGGAAGCAAGAGCAAATTTTATTGTGCTGTAGCCTGGATTTCCAAAACAGGCAAAGTTCATGCAGTCCCACCAGGTTTTCCCTCTCTGCCTCACCCCAAGTAATGCCAATTTCAGTCAAATTCAAAGGTTCAGGTCTCAAAACCACAACATTCTTAGGAGCTTGCAAAGATGGAGAAGCAAGACTGAGATAAATGTCCCTAAATCAAGGAAAAGGAGATACAGTTGTGCTTCTCTGCCTTTCCAAGGCCCAGCAGGCCATCAGTGACACACAGAAGCTCCAGACCAGTCAAAGCAGGTGTTGTCACTGCCCAGCCTTGCAAAATGAGACGGGCTTTACTCAGTGACTTCATAATTCCTTGTAAGGAATAGACTGTGATACACATTATGTTTGTGGATGCTTGGTGGGAGAGAGGCTTTACTGCCTGCTTGTTTTAATATGGAAAAAAGGGCATTCAAAGCTCCCAGAAGAAAAACTGTGCTTGAGTTTGGGGTTCCAGCAGAGCTGCTCTTTATAACTCCCTGCTCTTTATTTGCACTGAAATCAGGGAATGACAGAGCAAAAGCTCAAACCCTGTAACAGCCCTACAAAATCCTCTTACTTTTTGAGTAAACAGGGAGGCCAAGTCAGTACCCTGTTTTCTGTGTATTTTCAAAAGCAGAATGTATGTTCAAAAGTGGTTTATCTCTGCCATATACTCCAGTTAACGGGGGTTGAAGTTACTGGGTACGAAACTCAGTAAGTTTTGTGTCCCAAGAATAAAAAGCCTGTGGAGTCCAGCCCACTGCCTGGCCTTGGAATGACTGAAATGCGCTGAACTAGACATGTTTGCATATCCCAGGAATTAGGTCTATAGCCATAAATACATTTTTCTTAAAGAAAACCTCTCTGCCATTGCTGCTTAGAGCTGTGAAAGCCACTTGCTGCTGCTTCACATGCACATTTCTTTCTAACAAAAAAATCAGTGAGCATCCTCTTCTGATACTGGAAATTGGACACAGTGTTTAGAAAACTGATGTGAGGTGGAGGGGAGGCTCTCTCACATCAGCTGTGGTAATCTCTGTGTTGTAACCCACTCCCCTCCCCCCCTCCCAGCCTGCAGTGTACCTGAGGGTGAGGAACCGAGCCCAGGGTCGGTACCTGACGGTGGCTGGGAGCTTGGCAGACGTCAGAGCCACCTCAGTGTGTGCATCCCCCTACAACGGCAGGAACACCCAGGTCTGGCACTACTGCAGGGGGCTCTTCAAGTCCAGGGTGAGTTTCCAGGTGCTGGAAGTGGGTGGGTTGTATCCCTGCTCTCCTCTGACCTTCACTTCTTGCTTTTACTCTAGGCCACCACTAACACCCAGATGGCTTTTGTTCTCTCTTAAACCAAAACTCTTAAAAAATGACCTATGTATAGGTCACTTTGATCTGTCTGCTTGGGCAAGTTGGGCTACTTCTCACATCTGTCTAATGGGACCAATGCTCCTGGAAGTAGAAACCAGCAGAAACCTGGTTTTGTCTAAAGTCGCAAGTTTAAGTTTAAAACTTTTCAGATAAATTCTTTACTCTTTAAAGTAATGTGTGAACGGAGTAAGTGATTTTCTATTAATGCTGCCCTTGATAGTCTGCTCTTGGTATAAAAAAAAGCTGATAATTTCACATAAAAAGCTGATAACATGAAAACCTGAAGTAGCAGAGACACTGCCCTTGATCAAGCAGCTGATCCATTGCTGCATAATCTGCTCCTCACTTGTCAGGCTTCTTACCAACTCCAGCACCATTTCCTGACATATGCTCAGTGCCTGAAACAAATCAGGCACAAAACTGAGGCTTTGTGGCCTGGATCTCACCTCTCTTCTTGTTCCTTAGGCCAACAATGCCTGCCTGGATGTCATTGGTGGCAGAGACGTGCCTGGGGCCAAAGTTGCCCTCTGGGCAGAGCATGGGAAGGACAGACAAAAGTGGAGACTCAACGAGGATGGAACCATCAGTTCATACCTCAGTGAACAACTGGTCCTTGATATTAAAGGTATTTAAAAAACAAACAATCCCTAAACCTCTCACATGTTTTAGGTATGTTTTTTGATTAGGGTTAATTGCCATATTCCAGCTTTTTTTTTTGTGCTTAAGGCTTCCTGTTAGGTTTATGTCCAGTTGCTTGTCAGTGGGACAACAGGGCAGGGAGGAACCTTTCTCTTTTGATTCCAGAGGTTTATTTTGATCAGATCAACTACTGTACTTCAGGGAGTTAAGCAGTGCTGATGGCAAGGAATGCAAGTTAAAGACAAAATGGTGAAGAAGCAACCACAGAACAGCTGTGGCTCAAAAAGTAAAAAGGAGTTTAAAAAAGAAGGCTGGTTAAAATTGTCACTGCTCAATTACAGAGGCCTCATGCAATTTCTGGTTTTCAGCTAATTTTCCGACTTAATCATACTTCCTAAACATTATCCATAGATTTTTATGAGCATTTCTTTTAAAAAATTTTCCTTCATGACTTTCTTTTGTTTTTAAGGAGGAAATTATTATGACAAGAACCACATCATTATGAATCGGCCAGTAGAAGACAGACCTTCACAGAAATGGGATATAGAAATACTGTGAGTAAACCCCCCCCCACAGATGGACCTTGTGTGGGCTATTAACATCTTAGAGGGGGAAAACAAGACCCCAGCTACTGAAGTCACACACCACTGAAACAATAAGCAGCAACTCCTCTCTACTTTCCTTCATACCAAGCACCAAGTCTTTAAAGAACTGAATTTTGCACAAATCTGGAGGAGGGGACGTTGATCCAATGTCTCTCTGCAGGGAAGTTGATTCTTTGGAGGCTGCTCCTATGAAAGTCACTTATTACTCTTCATCTGCACTCTGAAAGGTATAAAAGTGTAAAAGACTAGACATAGGTTTTGCAGTATAGGAACTGCAAGAGATAACATGGGAAAGGCTCTTCAGAGATGTTGTCTTTACCTCCCTCACACTGATGGAAGCTCCCCGAGGAATGAATGCACTGGTGAGCTTGAAAGAAGGTGAGTTGGACTTTGGTGTCCCAAGCAAAACTGTTTGGGCTCCAAGCAATCCTGAAGCTCAAATCCAATTTATTGTGTTCATAAAGACAACTTTGAACTGGAGTTCCAGCTCAGCATGTGAAATGAGGTGACAGAAAGCCTGACTCTCACCCCCTCAATGTTACTGGTCGGCCTTTGCCTTCTCTCGTTTTCACAGCACCAAATTCCCAAATCCAGGAACTGGTTCTGCTGCCCCGTAGCCTCTTTACTACCCATGCAATTGTGAGTTATCCCTGAAGTTCACCTTTAACAGGAGCCATATGTGCATGTTTCAAACCAGGGATAAATGGCCCTGGGTCAGGCTGCACTTCTGCAAGGGCTAAAGCTGCGTTTAGCACAGCAACGATTTTAAATGTAGCTGTATTTTGGTTCAGTGTACATAGCTTAATTTAATGCAATGTCTTTTGGTCTTGAAACCATGTCTTCCTGCAGAAAACAACTCACCCTGGCATGTATTTTCAAAGGTGCTGGCAGCCTGCACTCCAGTGTTGCTTAATGAGAAATCCCTCAGATCACTGGTTTCAGCATCACTTACCTACTTAATTGAAAATACCTTTTTTTTTTTATATTTGTATATTCAGGGTATGTATTTCTAGGACTATTTAAGGAGTTCAGGTTAGCTAAAGGCAAGATATTTTAGATTCCAAAAGCTGTAATTATTTCAGTTGTGCACTCTAACAGGATCACCCCCAAACGAATAAAGACATAACCCCAAGTCTGCCATAGAAATAAAATATATGGATGTCTATTTTTGTATGAAATGGAGTTCTATATAGTACTATTTAAAAAAAAGAACTATCTACTTGCACTTACTATTTTACATACTAAAATTATCAGAAATCTGCTGTTTGAGTAACAGATCCTCAAATATATGTATATATTTTTCCAACTAAAGCACTTGTTTAGCTTTTTTCCTTGTAAGTCAGTACATCAAGTGTTCTGCACGTGACTTGCTTTCCATATGAAATTTTAAAAGCCTGTGTAAAAAGTTGTAGTTTTTTAAATGAAGAATGACTAAATCATATTTGGTGTCTCAGTGTTACATAACAAAGCAAAGCAGGCTTTTGTACTTAGGAGACCTTGAATGTAAAATGCTAAAGCATGTATATTTTAACTGTATAAAACTTTTTAGGAGGAACATTTTGCTTGTTGGTTTCTTTTTTAAACAAACTAAACAATAGTTTTTAGCAGGTGTCAAGCACATTCCTGTAAAATATTTCTTTTCAAATGGACAAAAAAAGGGATAAGAATCTTGAGTACATGGCTCTGCTGTCACGTGAGTTTAATACTTCATTGATTTTTAATATTCAGGTAATTGCACTACTCATCAAAACCCACTTGAGTGATCATTGAAGATACAGATTCCAGTGAGAGGTTTTTGGGTTACTTTCACATTAAAATTGGTGCTGGGGGAGCACCAGTGTTGGCAGCATCTGAGAGGGAAGGGGTTTTCTTGGGCAAAATCAACCCCCTTAGGGAACAGCACACAAGCTTTTACTGAGAAGCTTCAGTCCTGTCAGGGCAATCAAACTGAACAAACGTGTTTTCTTGCTGCTGAACTTTACAAATGAAAAAAACCCAAGTTACTGTTCTATGTCCAAGGTTCTGGATCCTGCCCCATGTACAACTTCAGCAGCTCTCCAGAGGGAAGGGGATACCACAGCACTGGTGTTATTAGGAGTGACTTTGTGCATCCCCAGTCGTGGAGCTGTGGCTCACTAGACAGTGAGCAGCTTACCTATTTTTCCCCATGCCCAGTTTCCTAAAACTGAGGAAAGAAAAGTATGTATTTGTTTAGACAGCACCACAAACCAGAGGCCGGATGGATAAAAAAGTAATTTAATAAGCCTCGCTCTCAAGAGATGCTTAATAGCCAGAAACACTCCTTTAGAGGAGCAGCTAATTCACAGAAGCATCAAAGAACTTCAATCAGACATTCACTCCACAGGGACAAGGCAAGGTTTTCCTTCTCTTCATCTGAGGTGAGGTTAAGCTCTTTAACATGAACAGTGCTGCTACTCCAAATCTGCTTCAGTGCTTCCAAGTATGACAAAGGAAAGCGCAGCCCGTGAGTCTGCTGGGGAAGAAGAAACAGAAAAAAAATCCTTCAGCTGAGAGCAGTGTCCTTATTGCACAGCAGTTTGTGAGGCTGTGGGTAGGGAGCAGCAGGAATGTGCTCCCTTCCCACATGGCACTGGTGTCACTGAGAGCATTCTCCAGAAGACTCAGTTTTATCCAGGCCTGTTTTATCTTCGTAGGGAAAATGCTGAACTCTCTTCCATGTTCTAGCACACTTTATGAGGTGGGGATGTTTACAGCACGGGGCTTTCTCCTGTGGTTTCCACACGGAAGAATTAAATAACCTTAAACTTACACTCTTGCCTAGCTCTGTCCATTATTTTTGGAAGCTCATTTTAGAAGTTTATTTCTAGCTGCCACACGCAGTCTTTGGATATAGTTTGACACAAGCACAGAGAAGCTCCATTCCCAGGCCTGGAGTCTTCAAGGGCAAGAAGGAATATTCTGGGATCTGCACATGTTGTTCAGGTGCCAGTGTACAACCTCAGCTCTGGAGGACCAGTGAGATTTACCTCAAAAGGAAAATAAGTGCCAGGCAAAAAGCCTTGCTGTAATTACCGAGACAAGGACAGACTGTGTCCTGTTTTGCCTCTATTTGTGCAGACCTGAATTCAAGTGTTTCAGATCACAGACCTAAGACACAGCATCTCACTGCCAAAAAAGCAGAAATAAAGCTTCCAAAGCTAAAAGCCATGCTTAGGAAGGATTTATGTTCCTGCGAGCAGGAACAGAGACAACCTGAAAAGTACATTTCAGAACGAGGTAGGTCTTTACTCGCAGTGCTGACCCACCCTACCCTAAAATGAACACCCCTGCAGTGTGTTCCATTGGATACAGAATCTAACATGGGTTTAGCATGGCAGTGATCCCTAAGGGAGCATCTGCTGGCCTATCCAGTAGCCTCAGTAGAGGACGTGCTAAGGACACACCAGTAAGAGCTGGTTTTAGTTGCTCCAGTAGCTTTGCTCACTGGGCCATAAGGCATGCACCAGAAATCCTGTTAACATCTTGAGTGTTTAATTAAGCATGAGATCACATTACTCAGTTCCACTGTTAAACTGCCTCTGTGGTGCAGCCTCAGCTCATCTGGGCACTGCAGGGCTGGGCAGAAATGCTCTGGGTGCTGAGGATCACAGCAGAACCCAGGCCCTGCTGCAATTTTGGCCAAGCTCATCTAATGCAGCAAAACCCACCATGGAAAGATAGTTTTTGGTGCGTTTGCAGGAACAAACCTGTGCCGTGCCATCCTCACTGGCAGTGTCATCTGTCCCCATCATGTGAGTGTCTCTCCTGTTCTTTAAGGAATGATACACATAAACCATCTCCCTGCGGATTTCATCCTAAAAGACAGCAGGGAGGAAACAGTTACATGTGATCCACACCCTCAGACTCATCTCACTGCAGTTGCCAATGCTCCTTAATTCTGGAGTCACTCTTACAACAAAGCATGCAAGTCACCCTCCCAAAGGAATTTTCAAACAGCCACCTCCCACAGCAATAAGGGACCCTCCAAAACACCTCTGAAAATTTATTTGCAATCATCTTTTGCCTTAAAACTGTCCCTGCTAGAGTCCCAGGACTGATGCTGTACAGAAAACAGGCCATTTAAGGGAAAGTATTAATGAACAGGTGTCCATCAACACATTTCCAGTCTGATACTGATCTGTCTCTTAAAAATCACATGCCCATCATCAGTCCTTGGTCAGAGCTGTGCAAAGAAATTCAGAGCTCTCTGGGCAGGTTGCACATGGAATTTGTGGACACAAGTCTTCCACGTGTCCTGTCATCCTGGGTTGATCTGTGTGACATCAGAAGGCAAGGTGGCCAAAAAATTGGGGGGAAAAAGTCTCCAAAACCTACAGAGTCTCACAGCAATATGGATACAAGCAAGATGGAGGAAAAAAATCAGAAAGTTATGGTGTGTTTTTCTTGGGAAACATTCCACTCAGCCAAAAAAACCCCAAACTGTACAAGATAATCTTTGCTGTGTGTCCCACCCCCTTTTTTTTTAAGTGAGATAACAAAAAGCCCTTCTACAATTTCATACTAATAAACCTTCATGGATAAGAAGTAGTGTAGACACAGCATAATGCAAGATGCATGTATCAGTGTTGTGGAACAACTTAGTAGTGCCCCTGGCACCTGCTTGGATACAGAGATAACTCAGAAGTGAAGATTAAATGCAGCCACAGCAGCAGCTGCAACCAGCAGAATTCCCTCTCTTGAGAAAACCTATTTTTACAACTTACTCCTGTTCTTAAATACAAAGAATAGGAAAAAAATCTATTACCAAGAGCTGTAGAGGCCATTTAGCTGCTGTAATGATCTACCCCATCAAACCTGAGACAAAAGCCATGCACCTCCCATACAGAATCATAGGCTGAATTTAGTTTTGAAGCCCCCCCTCCAGAAGGTTGGAATGTGCCATATCACTCAACAAACAACCCCACAGTATCCTAACAAACCCTAATGGGATGCAGGATCCAGCTCAGTGTAACTGCACAACCCTTTAGAACAAGAGAGCAACAACTCCCATGCCTCACATGCAGTCCCCAGCCCACCCCAAATATACAGAGGTGGCTTCACTGTACCCACAGCATTCTCTTGATCTGGTTCCACGGAGATGAGAGCGTGATCTCTGAACTGCAGTCTGATTTTGCTGTCTATTTTTGGCAATTTCCCACCTAAGAAAAATAAATCCTCCCTTAGAAAGGAAGAAAACCAGACAAACGGTCAAACTGAGCCCCCCCTGTGCTCTCCCCACTCTCTCAAGGCTGGATTGTTTGTTAAGCTGTGTTTCAACACCCACATGTGCTCAAACTTGCTGTGGAGGGGGCAAGGAGAAAGAGATTTTTTAATTCTCTCACCTTTCCTGTCTACAAATAACTGTAATAAATAGCAAGCTAGAGCCCAGGGAAAACTGCTACCAGTTAAATGCTACCAGTTTATCACAGCTGCCAAGTTCCAGTCTAGGATAATCTTTATTCCACTCTAAGGGAGTGTCATCTCTCCCACTAGACACGGGGAGCAAACACACACGTGGGGCCTCACGGCACACGAAGCTGATGCTGGACTGTGATCTTTGCCTACCATAAAATACTAAAAGTCCCAAGAGGAGCAGAGTTAGCAACAGCTCTACCATCACATCAGCCAGTTTTATTAACTTCAAAACCCACCTGGAATCAAGGAATCGGAGTCACATCCCAAGCAAGGCGGCAGCCGGTGCATGATGAAGTCCTTCTTCATGTCGGATGACCTCAGTTCCCTGGTGTGGTCCAGGTGGTCTGCAAGCCTCCTCAAAAGGCTGCTCAGCTTCTTGGTGGAGTCAGCTGTATTCACCTGCTAAATATCCACACAGAGTTGTTCTCACATGGAATTCAAGCTGCACAGACCAGGCCTAATCCAGTACAGAAATGCTGTAAAACTCTGGACACTCCTCTTTTATCTTTGCAAGGTTAACACTTAGTCCCAGAACAACCACCTTAGTTTGTTTTACACATTCCCCGTGAAAGCTCACTTTCCCTTGCTCTGGGGCTACTGCAATGCTAAAGGACATGCAAATGCAGTTGAAGAGACACTTGTTCCTCCTGGAGCTGATCAGCACGACAGGATCACCTTTAAGAGGTCACACAACAATTTACATATTCACTAACTTTTAAAGACTGAAAAGCTTGGCCTCAGAGGAATTATGCCTGTCTGACAGATCCCAAGCAAATAGCATTACTTTTAGAAGGAAACAAGCCATACAAGGACACTGTGATAGGAAAGAAAAGCAGTGTAATGAATTAGGCAATCTTGAGATGGAGCCAACCTCAGAAGAGTCATCCTGAAGACTTAAAAGAAGTGGCTGGGCTGCTAGACAAGGCAGTGCCATTGCACTGAGCCTTCGGAGCAGATCAAGTGCTGAAGTTCCACCTGGTTGCACCATTATTCCCTCAGTCCCACCCACCTACCATCAGCAGTTGCCTTGGGATGCTCGTCCGCAGCGCCACGTCATCTTTTGCTGTGTCAAACACCAGGCCAGGAATTGCATCCAGTAAGAAATCTCCCCAAGAGCTGATGGATGGGAATTAAAAAAAAAAAAAACAAATTACTGAAATAGCTGCACTGAAATAAAACAGACATCACAACTGGTGTCCTGGGCTGGAAACCCCAAGAATTCCAAATCTGCTCAGTGCCTTTGGCCCTTCCATTACTGCTCTGTAGCCTCATGCAAAGGCTTATGCACATGTATGTCCTCACCACCTTCAGGTCAGTGGCACTTCTACAGAGGGAAGGAACTGGCTTGAGAAGGGTCCAGTTTCTTCTGCTTCCAGGTGCTTGCCATTTATCAGTGACTTCAGCTTAAGTGATTGAAAGAATTCCTCCTGGGGCCTTTATCATCCAGCCACAGGCACATACAGCTCCACTGCACACAATGAAGTGTGTGGAGTTGGTTTTGTCACTTAATGTGCTTTTGAGACATTTATATTGAAGGAGGAAACGTACCCAGGGTTATCAAATCCATCAGTTTTCAGCTTGACTAGAAACTTAATTACGACCCCAAAAACAAGATGCCTACAGGGATTTTAATGACACCTGACAGGCAGTTTGTAGGTGTCTTGTTTGCATTAAATCCCCATTCTTAGCCTACATACTTAACCAAAAACACTGGCTTTGATCCCTGTGCTTCTGTTCCCCACTTGTAACAATAAACCAGAGGAGGAGAGGGAGGACTCCTACTCCTGCCTGCACCTTCTGTGCCCAGCTTGAGTCAACCTCAGCAGGAAAAGGCTTATGCCAAAGTGCAGCCCTGTCCATGGGTGACCTTCTTCCCTCCCACATCCTGAGGCTGATTTAGTGGACAAACATACAGGGCTGCCAGCAGAACTCCCACCCACCCAGGGCAGGCAGCAGGGCAGGGCCTGTCCTCCAACACACACTTCACCCTCTGCTCCTGCTGTCCCTCAGCACTCCCTGTTGTCAGCACTGATCTCTAGGCACTACTTTAGTTTGGGAAAAAGAAAAAGTGCCGCTTTTTGTAGTCTTAATATTTTTTTATCATCTCCACTAGAGTGTTCCACTGTCTGCTACACAGTGGGAGGGAAGAACTCTGGCCAGTGAAAGGAATTAGACATCTACTCCTCACTGCTTCCCTTCTTTTGCCCCCCCAGTCTCCATCTGCCAGCAACTGCCTTCAGCTACTCACTGCTTTTCCAACCTGCCCTGCTTATCCCACATGTGCACACTTCTCTCCTGCTGGGATCTGACCCAGACAAACCTGAAAATACCTGAAAGTGCCACCTCCACCAGCACTTCCTCCACAGCTGCTTTCAAGGATTTCTCTTCAATTGGCCAAGGAAATGTTTCCAGATCATACTTCCATCTACAAGCCAAGTCAGAACACCAGCCTGTACCAGGACTCCTGCTTTGTTTTCCCTGCACTTGCTGACAGGAGGTGCAGAGGCAGGATGTCAGCACTTCATCACCAACAGCCTTAATGGGGGATGACTCCACCTTTTAACCTTGGAAGAAGAGGAGCTTTTCCTCTCCTGTTTTTTGGGTTTTTTTTTTTTTTTTTTTACCTTCTGAATACAAGAACACGTGTGTAAATTGAAATAATCTGAACCCAACTTTTAGGAAGACTCACACCTTTGAGCAGCTTCCTCTTAACCCTCTCTCCATGTTGGAGGAGTGGCCAGATGAAGAGTTACCAGCCCATCCTGGGTTTCCAGAATGGCACAGCTGGTGGTTAGAGATTCATCTCACAGTTATCTACGATATGCCCAAACTTGTTCTGCCCTTCCTAATTCCTAACTCAGGCCAATGGCTCCAAACCCAGCATCTGGGAGGCTGATTAGGTTGGCAAGAACATTTCCCTATGTGATAACAGTGTGGACACAAGGACCAGGAGTGTGCCATAAGAAATCTGAGTTGCATACATGGGGTAGGAGATAAAAAAAACACAGATAAGCAGAAAATATTTGCAAGGAAGAATTGGCAGCAAATCTGTCAGAAGATTAGTGTGGGTGACTATCAAATACAGGAGAAAACATGATGAAAGGAGTAACTCATGACTCTTTATCTGAGCTATGAAATGAACAGTAACTCCAGCCACTGATGAGAGATTTTTTTTAAACATAGGAGTGAGTTTGCAGTTGTAGCATCTTCCACATTAAAGCCTACAGCTGGTAAATAATAAAATAAGCAATTAAAAAGCAATCAAGCTTGCTGCATGAAAACCTCTCGAACAGGCTGCTTCAAACAACAACAGTCTTCTTGCTCCCCTCCTTCCCCCAAGCCCCAAAACTTCACCACATCTCAGGTCTGTATTACTCACACACATCCCTTGGCAAAGGAAAGCCACACAAAACAAAAGATAAAGAATAAATTACTTGTTTTGGTAGGTACTGATGGTCACGTGTGTTGAATGGGAGGTCCCAAGAGGAGTGTCAGCTTGGTGGATGGTCCCTCTTGGGAAGTACAGTAAGTCACCTGGCTGCAAGAAAATTGATATATTTAGGGCACCAGGTCAAACCTTATTGCAGTCAGAGAAAACACTCTCTGAGCAGACGGTCTGACAATATATATCCTTTAGAATCACAAAATGGAGCAATCCTGCAATGTACACTTTAATAACATAAAGAACACTAAGCCAGAAGTTCAGAACCTTAAACTTTCCAACCTACTGCCAATATTTACTGAAAACATGAAACAAGCTTTTTAACATTACAGAACACGCAGACTCCTACTGAGCTGCATGAAGAGGACAAAGAAGCAGCTGAGATGGACCTGCTGGCAACACAGTGGGCTGGCAAAGGAGCAGTGAAATGGGAATTTGGTCAGATCATATCAAAAGAAAAGGCTAGTATTCCACAAGAAAAGCCAAATATTCTATTAAAAAATGGTCATCTGTTACAATACTGTTGTCTGAGATTTTCAGTTAAAGCACTTAAAAAACAGGTACAACCTTCCTCCTCCTCCCTATCTTTCTTCTCACCTATGTAAATTAAAACTCCACACTGAAAAAAAATTAGATTAGGAAAGTCAAGACAAGAAAGAAGTGTAAAGCACACGAAATTGCCTCCAAGAAGAAAATAGTTTACTTATGGCTTGTCCTGTAAATACCTATATAGTTGGACAGCACAGTCAAAGAAAACTGCCTTCCTTACCAGAGTGGGGACTACACCAAGAGTATTCTGAATTCTCTTTATTTGAAAGAAGGAGAAAGGAAATATTCTAGAAAGATGTTTAGGGAGGAAATAGAGTCAAACAACAGCATCCCTCTCAGAGGCAGCCACAAAGAGACAACCAAACTTTGACACTGGCCACCCAGAAGAAATGGGTCACAGGAAGTGAACAACAGCAAACAGAAGAAAAATAAATTAAACACTTGGATAATTTTTAAGCCCATCATTATTCCATAAAAATGAAAGGCACTGAAGTCTGGCCCAAAATATTCCAGAAATTAAAAAGGGAACTGTAATTTACTAGACTTTGCATCATCCACTACACGATGACGATTGAATATTCCCATCTGTCAAACGACACAGCTCGTGATGTCAGCATCCCATCCAATGTGTCCCACTATTCCTAAAACACCTACACCCAAATGCAGCTATGGACACCGAGAAGAGCAGAGAGAGGCTCCATAACACGCCAAAAGGCAGAGAAACTCCTGAGGATTCCAACATGGAGCAGCACCACCAGCTGGACAAGTAACACTTTAAAAGCAGGTAAAACAGAACAGGACAAGCACCAGATTCCCTGCTGACACTCAGTAATCTTCATGAAACGTTCCTTTTAGTCCAAAAAACAACAACCAACTGAACACTTGAATTTCAGGTTTGGAAAAAAGAAGAGCAATTGATACAGCAAGTTTATATGGGGTTTGGTTCACGCTTTTGTTTACCAGCCGAGGATAAATATTTAAATCTCATTCACCAGAACAGTGACAATGTTCAGTGCAGCAGTAAGTCTCAGTGCACAGAAGGATTAGCCTGATTGATTACAGGCAGCATGTAAAAGCATAAAAATGTTTCATAACCATACACAAACCCAGTGGTTTTTCTGCACACAACTCCACAAACATGATCTAGGAGTCAGGGTGCCCAACCTGGAGAATATTAGTCAATTTACAAAAATAACTGGGGTTTTTGGCCCATTATTTAAATACTAGAAGCAAAGGGTACCTTTAAAAAGGATAGGTTAGACAACTATCACCCAAATTTCTTGTGCTCACAGCATTTTGTGTGCAAACCCTCCCCTCGGTTTCACAGCCACAATCACTGTCTTCAAGAAATGGACCACTTTACACTTTTCTGGCAATCACAGTCCAGACCACCTAAGGTAATGAAATTCTCATACCTTTAATATGAACTCATGTGTGGGATTCCCAATCCTATCCTCTGATTCCACATTATATTCCCGAGCTAAAGGCACTGTTGGTTTATAGAGCCGCCAGTGTTTTTCGCCTTCCAGCTGAAGGATGAACACCTGCAAAAGACCATAAATCCAAATCCATAAGGAAGTAATTCCTTTCACATTTATTTTTAGATAGCTACAATTCAGAGCAATTTAAATTTGAACTAATTTTTTGGTCTCTATTTAGAGACAACAGACAGAGGAGTTATGAAGTGGGATCTGTTTTATCCTAAGGTAGGCATTTGGAAATCCCTGTTTCTCTCCAGTCACTTAAGTAAGTGCTAGAGAACTAACCCAAAAGGAACATCTGCCACACCAATATCCAAAATTTCAGGTGGAAGTGGCTTGTCCCCAGTAGAGCATCAGAAACCTCTATAGGGTGCCCAATGGGGGTTGATGGCATGAGTCAGAAATGCTGGATGTGAGGCTGCTGAACAACAAGCATAAGGAAAATGAAACTCCAGGTGTATTTAATGGAAATGAAAATATTAAAAAACAAAATATACATACAAGGATTGGATTTTTGATTTGGTTTAAGTGGGTCAGTCCAACTTTTTTTATAATGCAGTGTATATTTGTATGTTTCTTTTAGAAGCTGATTTAAAATGCATTTGGATCACAGGAATTCATCATATCAATAACTTCTTAAAAAAAGCAGGACCAACAAGCACAACTAGTCTGCTGTTACAGTCCAGCTGAAGAAAGAGCAAGTACTTAGTAAAGGAAAAAGGACTTGTAAATTCTTGGGGCCTGAATGCAGTGAAAATGAAAAAACAGGTGCTAGAAAGCTTCTGCAGCTGTGAAAACAAACTTCTCTTTTCATCTAATGGAAATACTAGGTCTGGAAAACCCAGTTTACATGATATTATGATTAGGTATAACTATTAGTACATTTTCAGCAAAAATATGTAAGAAAAACGACTACAAGGAAACACAAATAAAAAAACCCATTTTCCTATAAAGTTTAGTGGGGGGGAGGGTTAGAAGCACACACACAACAGCAAACACTGCCAGCAGCAAAAGCCCACGCACAGTTTCACAGGCAAGGTTGTGCTGTCCTACCTCAACATCATCATAGTGAGGGGGAAGGCCCTGGGATCCCTGGGGAGTGATGTAAACATTGGACCCCACCAGAGACCCAAAGTAGCACTCCAGCTTCTCCTGAATCTTCCACAGCTCCTCCTGTAAAAAACAAAAAGATGTTGTTACTTGCTGAAGAGCTCAGCCAAGCCCGGCCCACATCCTCCCCATGGCTTGGGAAGAACAATCACATCAGGGACACAGAGGCTGGGAAGGCAGGTGCTCTGTACCAGTGTTTCTCCTGAAGGAGAGCACTGGAGATGCAAAGGGGATCTGCCATGAGAGTAATTGCTAAGCCAAAAAGTCTGGTGCCCCAACCTGTGTTTGTTCTCTTCCCTCTGCCATCTTTAGGCTACACAACCAGACAGATAAGGCTGGACAGAGGAAAATAATCCCACAAACAGCAAAACACCATAAGACAATAAGCACACGCAGGACCTGCATTCTCTCACCAGAGAGAACATACAAAGGTTAGAGACCTTTCACCAGTTACTCCAATCATTTGGGAATATTCAAAACCAAACTTGAGTCATGCACACTCCACATGTGACAGACAAGGCACCAAAGGGAAACAGCAGAACATGCCAAGTACCAGACCCACACAAGTGCAGCTTGGCCATTAAAACTGACATCAGCCAGGAACACTATACCTGGAACTCAGCTTGTATTTGGGATCTTCTTTGGGTCCACCTCACAATTAAATTGTGTTGACACCTTCAGGACTACCTGAATCAAAGCACCTCCAAGAATCCAAGCCCTTTACACGACTGTGCAGCACCACTGCCTCTATCTCAAACTCAAGGACTGAGGACACTCAGCTAAAATGGGCTGGTACCTTTCCATGGTGCAATTCATTGGCAAGAACACTGGAAATATTCCACATGGTTTCACACCTTACCCTCCATTAAAGGGAAGTGGCTCAAAAGCCACGAAGTTTGCACAAGGAAACAGCAGGGCAGAAGGGATAATTTAAGCACAGATGCCTAATCATCAATTCTGTGCATTTGGGGTTTTTTCCAAACTTTTATGTGACAGAGTAAAATTTTAAAAAGAATATATTATTATACATATTATAGCATGAATCAGATTTTGTTCTTACTACAGAGCAGTGAAACATGATGGACAGTGCAAAAGTATAAACTGTGTTTTAATACAGCCCATGTAAAGATTTCAGCAGGTCTTCAATGTCAACCACTTCCCCTGGGGACACAGATGAAGCCATGTCTAGTGCAACTCAAGCAAAACACACCATGTTATTAAGCCAGCATTAATTATATCCAGTGAAACAATCCCACCTTAAATCTCTGAGGCTGATGAAACTGTATTGTTGCCTTTTTCTGGTCAAAGTCCTTCTTCAGCTGCATGTAATTCACTTTGCCTTCTTTATTTAGAACCTTCTTCTTTCCATTCACACACCTGCAGACATTCACATCTCGCCCATAGTACAGGCCCTGACTGCACAGCTCCTTCAAGTCTGACAGCTGGAACAGGGACAGGTAGTAAGCAGCCACCAGGGGATCATTTCTCTGGACAAGCAGTGGCTTTTGCTCCCAGTACTCCTTGAAAAACACCTCTTCTTTGATGGGGGAGATCAAGCTTCCGAAGAGGCTGCCTGGGTTCTCAAAACTCAGGACTGACGGAGAACAAGCTGCTTCCAGCTTTGCTCGTTTACACTGCGCCTGTGTTTCTTTTCCCATTTCAGCATGCTTCCCTCCTTTCTTGGGCATGTTCCTGTTCCAGAGGAGAGAGGACTAAAACAATCAACCAGCAACACAACATCAAGAGCTCACGGGCCCAGAGCAGCAACTCTTAACTTACCCAGTGGGATATCAGAGTATGCCGGGAACAGCTCTGGTTTCAGAGCCTCACTATTTGCTCCAAGCATTAACAATTTACAGAAATCAGGGATCATTGTTAGGTCTTCCCGTTGGTGCTCTGTAATTACTACATTTACAAGTTTAAAACTTGTAAAATTCACCAGTTTAAGAACTAAAAGGCCAAGATTCTGCTTTCAGTCCTGTCGAGCTGTCAAACTTTGCTTATGTAGAACAAAAAGAATTCTTTCATACAAGCACAGACATTTAATTTTAAAGCTGGAAGTCATTTACTTTGTTTTTCCCAGGCAGATAGTATGATTGTGTACCACTATGCAAAATAAAGAAGTTGATCCACAAATGGTTTGGCTGCCAAGTTCTCAGGAAAGTTAAGGGGAAAATCAAGAAACAGTAGGTAACTGCAAGTCTGGGAAGCCAACACCTGAGAAGTCTGAACGTGCTGATGCCATAATTTCTAAGTAAAAATGACAGCTTTACTCCCTACACCCATTTGATAGGAAATGCCATCAATTTGTTGAGATGCTTTAATTTACACAGATCCCTTATTTTGAAACTTAAACTCCAGTTCTGGTATTTACATGCAGCGCTAAGTTCTTCTGTGCAGCAGGACACCCTTGCTGGCCCACTAACTCCTGGGCAGTGTTTCATCAGCAGTTCCTGCACAGCCTGTCCCTCAACAATAACCGAGGGTCACCTCAGCCCTGCAGGAGGGAATTCACATCACCTCCTTCCTGGGAGGATGGACATTCCCAACTGCAGCACGAGGCAAGGGAATACATAAAAAATTAAAGACTGAAAATCAGTCCCTGACTGACGGCAAGATCTGAGGATGCTGCTGAAGGCACCAAGATCTAAAGCTGACACCCCCAAATGCCAGCAACACAAATGCAACAAATCCTGAATGAACAGTTTTGAATTCCAGACCTAAATCCATTGTACCATCCTCTCACCTCACTCACATTGATTTAAAGAAGTTACATTCAGATGTTTACTATTCACAGAACGCAGCTTCGTTTACAACACGTGCTGTTCTGTAGCGTTCTGCTAGTTATTACAGCTGTTCCAAGCCCCCTGCCATGGGCAGGGATACCTTCCACTAGATCTAGTTGCTCAAACCCCCATCCAACAGGATCCAAGAGGCCTTGAGCACTGCCAGGGATGGGGCATCCGCAGCTTCTCTGGGCAACCTGAGCCAGTGCCTCACCACTCTCCAGCAGAAAAAAATTCTCCCTTACATTTAGTCTAAACCTAAACCATTAAGCTTAAAACCATCGCCCCTTGTCCTGCGGGTTCAGGCCCTCGTAAAAAGTCCCTTTCCATCTTTCTTGCAGCATTTAAGTACTGAAAGGCTGCAAGGAGATCTCCACAGAGACTTCTCCAGGCTGAGTCACCCCAACTCTCCCAGCCTGTCTCCGCCGCTGCTCCATCCCTCTCATCATCTTCCTGGCCTTCCCTGGACTTGCTCCAACAGTTTGTGTCCTTCTCACGTCGGGGGCTCCAGAGCTGGATGCCGCGCTCCAGGTGGAGAATCACCAGAGCGGGACAGAGGGGCAGAACCCACTCCCTCACCCACCGCCCACGGAACTGGATGCAGGATACGCCCGGATTTCTGGGCTGTGAGCTCAGCGCCAGCTCAGCTCCAACTCTCCATCCACCGGCACCTCCAATTCCTTCCGTGCCGGGCTGGAGGACAAATCCCAGCGCAGAATCTCCCACAGGAGCAGCTGCTCCCTGCCAGGGCTGTTCGCTCCCGCACCACGTGCTGCCACTCCCTGGGAAGCGGCGGGAATAACGCCGGGCACAGCGGGAATAACGCCGGGCACAGCGGCTCTGAAGACACACGGTGTCCCCGCTCCCCACTCCCGGCTCCCGCCGCCTCCATCCAGCCCCTTCCCGTCCCGCGGCCCCGCACTCACCCGGGCGGGAGGGAGGGAAGGAGGGAATGGCGGCGGGGGCGGATCGCACGGGATCGGGGCGGGACGGGATGGACCGGGTCGGGTGAAGTGAGGCCGGGCAGGATGTGCCGGGTGGAAGCGGGAGGCGGTCCTGCCGCGCTGGGAGTCACGGGAGGAGCCGCTTCCGGGCGGCCAGTAGGAAATACGGCAGTATTCCAGTGTCATTCCAGTGTGTATTCCAGTGGGAAATACGGCAGTATTCCAGTGTCACTCCAATGTGTATTCCAGTAGGAAACACGGCAGTATTCCAGTGTCACTCCAATGTGTATTCCAGTAGGAAACACGGCAGTATTCCAGTGTCATTCCGGTGTGTATTCCAGTAGGAACGCAGCAGCACTAAGGTTAATCAGTCTACTTCATACATGCCTGGGCTTCAGCTGCGTTATTGTTTTTTCCTGGACCAAAAATCCTTTTCTTAGAGTCTCCCTAAGTCTCCCTCAAAGAAAACTTTGGAATCCTCACTGAGCACGTGAAAACTTCCAGAAATATTTTTAGGTGACTGTTAATGGTTTGGTTTACGTTGGCTAGTGATGTCAGAAACAAAAGAAAATGTTAGTAGGCTTTGCTGAAGCTTTGTTCTTGTGTACTGACTTGAAGGATACAAAGCAGAAATAAAAAAGGTGGATTTTGGAAACCTCAGCAGCCTTACAGTGCACGGCTGATGTTGGTACAAAGTTACACTGCCATAAGTGAATTACTAGAAGGACCTTTCAATGGCAGGTAAGAGGGGGGACTGTGTCCTGTCAACAACTTAAGGAGGGATAATAACAGAGCCTTGCACATCTCCAACACCAGTTCAAATCCTTCCCTTTATGGAAAATGGTTTTCAGTCTTGTTCCTCCTCGCAGTGTGGTTGTTATTCCCACAGTCATAACTTCTGCTTCCCTGCCACTAGCTGGATCATTTGGAACAAATGTTGTGATTCCAGTGGGTTCTGCATTCATGAATGCATCAGCAAATTCCTGTGTGCTGAGCAGAGAAAGTGGCAAATTATAATATATGGAAAAGGAGGATGGAGGAGAGAAAAAGGCAAACGCTGCTCATCCTGTTCAGTCCTTGTTCCTTTACCACCTGGACCGCTCTGTCGCCAGCTGACCAAAATATCATGGTCACTTGAACATGAAATAAGGATTAATCAGCATGTGGCTGGGTTACCAGCAGAGAGATTTTGCCAGGGGTGAACCTACAGCTGTCCTAATTGTAGAAATGTGTACAAATTAGATAAAAAATTTAAGTTTCTCTAGAAAGCTTTTTTTTTCATAGACCTGTGAGCTTCAAAGAAAAAGAACACAATCTCTACTTTCTAATTCTGAGTTCATCACTACATCCCTCAACATCCAGGACATTTTGCAAAATTTATTAAACTTCAAATATTTTAATGTAAATGCTCACCAATAGTTGGGATATTCAAAGTGAAAAATAGGTCACTGTCATGAAATTCTCTTTATTTCTTTCGTGAGAATTAGCAAGCTTTGAAGAAGGAAGTAGTTCTCCAGACTTAAAAGGTTGCATCACCTAAATTAACACTCACAGGATGTTTTCTCACTACAGATGGGTGTACCAGTAGATGCTGAAAATAGAGAGGCCACATCCTGCACCTCAGCTGGTCACAGACACCATTAAAAGATGTTATTTCTGTTCCAAAAATCCACAAACTACCCTCAGCATAACTGCCTGAACACCATTAGGGTGAATACTCAAACAAATACACATATACATAATGGCTGTGGTGCTTTTAACTTGCTGGGGGGCATAAACCCCCGCACATCTGACCGGCTGCAAAACCAGTAGGAACGGGAAATACTTTTGAGTACCTTTTTAAAGACTTCCAGGCTGGTCTGGGGAGACAAATTGGCTAAAAGTATTTATTACCATCCCTGTCAGGAAGGTAACACAGCTTCAGAGGAGGGTCATGGGCGCTGTAACCAGCCCTCTAGCACCCCCTAGACAAGAAATAATGCATTTAAATACCGTTTGTTATTTTTAACTACTAATACAAGCAGTAGATTTTTGAAGTGTAATTGATCCTGGTATCATCCCTGTCACTGCCTTAAGAAAATAAAAATTATAACCTTTGCTGTAAAAATATCCAGTCAAGTTTCATCAGCCTGTAGTTAGAGGACAAAGGGGAATGGCTTCAAACTGAGAGAGGGCAGGTTTAGATTGGATATTAGGAAAAAAATTCTTCTCTGTGAGGGTGGTGAGGCACTGAAACAAGTTACCCAAAGAAGTTGTGGATGCCCTATCCCTGGAAGTGTTCAAGGCCACGTTGGATGGAGCTCTGAGCAACCTGGGATAGTGGAAGGTGGAAGGACTGGCAATTGCAGCTCACGGCTCCTGCAAGCAAACGACTCTACCTCCACCCTGGAAAGAAAGCCCTTAACCTCCGTCTCTCATGTGCACTTGGTGGGGCAGCCTGGGCACTCCATGGACAGCAAGAACTTTCTATTGTGGGACCTTTTGTCTGGGGAGGAATCTTCCTTTGTATTCAATTTTGGGAGTAGGACTGGCAATTTGAGCGCAGGGCTGAAAAAAAGGGAACAGCAGCCCTTTCCCCCAGGACAGAAAGCCTGTAAGCTTTGGCTTTCAGGTGCAGTTGGTGGGGCAGCCTGAGCACTTGGTGGGCAGCAAGAGCTTTCTGTGGTGGCACCTTTTCCCTGGGAGGAATCTTCATTTGTATTCAATTTTGGGAGTGGGACTGGCAATTTGAGCGCAGGGCTGAATAAAGAGAGCAACAGCCCTTTTTCCCAGGAAAGCAAGCCTGTAACCTTTGGCTTTCAGATGCAGTTGGTGGGTTTTACAGACCGGTCAGGGGCTGCAACGCGGTTCTTTAGATGATTACTTCGAAGGCGAGATTAAGGCACAAAACTCCAAATGTTAGGTCTCAAACAGAGAATTTGCTTTATTTGTAATAATAAGTAACGGTAAAATCGAGGCGGGAGAGGAGAAGAAGAGGGAGAGATAAGGAAAAGGAAAGTACAAAAAGGTTACCTACCACCAGTGAGAGAACCGGGTGTAGTCAGCCTCAGGCAGTCAGGAAAGGACCGCTGGAGAGAAGCAGGGGGGAAGCAGACTGGGTCGAAGGCAGACAGGAGATGTGGCAGGTGGGACACGAGCAGGACAGAGGCAAGCAGGGCAGAGTGAGGAGTGGGGACCAGCATGGTACCGTGGCCAACACCGACTGGACTCACCACCACGCTGGGCACTGCCTTCAGTACCCCCCGGTGGGCGCTCACTGGCCGGCTTGGCTCCGGGCACGTCTTTACACGATGTCGAATGGCTAAGCTGCTGGTATCCAGGCAGGCTGGCTCTGCCAAGGCGGGAAAATGTACCAACTTTCTGTTGGAGACTCTCCAGGGGTTCCTCAGGACTCCAGCAAGCAGTCCAAAATGTCCCCCTAGGCTGATGAAGACAGCCCTCAAAGAGCTAAAGCTGGTGTCCGCAATTTTGTTCAGTCAATGGGCTCCGGCAAAGGTTCCTGGTAGCCTGCAAAACTTTCACTTGGAACATGCATCACCTGATGTAAATACTTTCGTTAGTGTGAAGTGGTTAATTGCCGCTTGGGACACTTTAAATGACTTAAAAGAAGCCTTGCGAAAGGCGCTTAATTGCTCCAGTAACACCTATAGCACCTCTGCCTATAGGACAGATAATTACCAGTTGTTTATTGCAGAGGTCAATATCAAAACAAAGTAGCGAGTAAGAAATAAAAAATCTATTACAACCAACAACTGGACCTAGCAGCCAAAAGCTCCCAGGCTTTCTGTCCTGGGGCACAGGGCTGCTGTCCCCTTTGTTCAGCCCCGCACTGCCAGTGCCGGCCCCCCCGCCACAAAACTGATACAGATGAAGATTCCTCCCAGGGAAAACGTGCCACCACAGAAAGCTCTGGCTGCCCACGGAGTGCCCGGGCTGCGGCGCCAACTGCACCTGAAAGCCAAAGCTCACAGGCTTTGTGTCCTGGGGCACAGGGCTCCTGGACCCTTGGTTCAGCCCTGCCCTGCAATTGCCGGTCCCACCTCCTCAAAATTGATACAAATGAAGATTCCTGCCAGGGAAAAGGTGCCAGCACAGAAAGCTCTTGCTGCCCACCGAGTGCCCAGGCTGCCCCACCAACTGCGCCTGAAAACCAAAGTTTCCAGGCTTTCTTTCCTGGGGAGAAGGGCTGTTGTTTCCTTTTTTCAGCCCTGCGCTGACATTGCCAGTCCCACTG